TTGCCCGTGCCGGGTCTGGCTGCCCAGCTCCGCACGGCCTCTGCTGGAAAGCCCGCGGCCTCCCTGCGGAAATCTTGGCCTCGGGCTTGGAGGGGGAAAGCGATGTGGTGGTAGCGTCTTTCATGTGCAGGGCCCTTAGGGGTTCGGTTTTATCTGGGCTGGGGGCGTCCTTAGAAGTCAGTCAGGCTGCCCTCAGAGGTTGCCGTGTTGGCTAAAAAGCTGCAAGTTTGATGGCAGGTGGCAGAAGATTGCTGGCCTTTTTGAAGACGGTCTCTCCGAGTAAAAGTGTTGGAAACTGGAGGGACCTCTCTTCAGCCTTCGTGCTGTATCAGGAGGGCCAGGATCCCTTGCAGCCCATCTTTGCCAGCCACCTTAGTAGTCTGCCCAGGAGGAGATGTGAGGGACCTACCTGATCTCCTGCAGCCTCTCACTGTGGCTGTACAGCGAGAGCCATAGAAAGCATCACAATTAACTTCAGTGCTGTTCTCTATCTGTATTGACTTCCCAAAGTCACACCAGAATTACTAGTAGGAAGGAAAACTCTTGAGTTCACAGCTCCCGTGTCCATTTTTTTCTGATGTGAAAAAATGGCCTCAGTTTCCATTGATTGGCATATCGAATAATCACACATCGAGGTTAAAAACTGGCAAATACAGACAGGTGGAACTTGATACATGGAAAATGAAACTACTGTGCATATAAATATTGCTATAAATATAAAATCAAAAGCTATAGGGTGTTGAGTGTGGTTAAGTGTGGGTATCTTACACTGGGATGTATAAGACATTCGCAAAATCACAATTACTTCTGCAGAGTGATGCTTAATGTACTGCTGTGCGCAGTTTACATGTGGAGAAAAGAAACCTCTGCTAACAGAACTAATAAAACTCACTGTGGTATGTTGTGTATGCGTTGCTCTGAAGAAATTCTGCAAGCTTCTAATGCAGTACTTCAATATGGCAAAGCCATATAAAATTGAAATTGGGAGAATCAGGTTATTCTCTGCTGGAGAAGAACAGAGATCCCTGCAATACTGGCGCTGTGGATTTCTGCTCCACATGTAGTTGAGAGGAGGATTTTTTCCTGATTCCAGGAAAACCTGCAGCGCTTACTTGGGCACAGGAATAAAAGGTCTTTTACGTCAGCCTTACTCAGAACACTACAGTAATAAAAGTAACTTCAGCTGTAATTTGCAGTGTTAGAAAGCCCATGGATTTATTAATCCCATGGTTTCTTCCCAACAAGGCCAGAATACCTACAATCTCAGTTACTGCTAGATGTGTGAATTTTGATCAGTAACAGCAGCCAACTGCTGCTGTCATGGCAATGTGGAAGTGTTGTGCTATTCAGCACATTTTTTGCCAGAGGGCAGCAGAGCCTCAGTTAGTGAATTTGCTGAAGATCATTTATGTTTGATTTTTGCAGATTTTAGAGAGAGGGTTGGTAACATTTAGAAATCAATATATTTGTGTGTGCCAGCTCTTTTTTTTTTTTTTAATTTTACAGCACTATCCTGTGCAGGATTAGTGACTATCCAGTTTGTGAGGGCAAGGTTAGTACTCTTGCACAGGCAGTTGGAGTAGGAGAATCCTGGCCAGACAATATGAATTATTTGCCTGTGTCTGTAATACATTCTAGGCATGTAACATGCTCAGAACACCACCCCCACCCCCCGCTGCCAATCTCTGTCACCCCAGGTCCAGCTCCTAGCTGTTTTGTAACCTGTGACACAATCATGAGAGGTATCACTAGAAATATTTGTGATCTGGTGAGCCCGCATGCAGTTTGTTGTCAAGGTGCTGACAAAAGAAACAATGTCTTTACAACAGCTGATTTAATAGTTCTCTGGTTTGGTTAAATCAAGTTCAATCCCCAGCCTTCAAACGCTCATGTGCTTAAATCTGTTAATTTACAATTGCAAATAGACCCCATTAACTCAATATTGGGTTGTTGATTTCAGTGGGAAAGCTCCCAGTAATGGAAGGTGTGCATATATTTAACTATTCTGAAAATTTAAGTTTTGTGTCCTAGCAAAGTCTTTCTTTAAAGTTGTTGAACCAAATTCATTGATTCTTCAGAATCTCGATAGCCATTCCTCTCAGTACACAGATTTTATCCTAGTCTCATGTAATCCTTAGCTTGCAATGCAATGCTGTTAGGACTTGCTATTCCTAAGCCTTTCGTGTACTATATAGATGAATCCCAGCCTTAATTATATCTCATAGAATGCAAATACTGCAGATATGGGCCAGGAGCAGACTTTGGGCTATATAAATAGTCCCAACTTATGTTTTTCAGGGGATGGCAATCTTCTCCCACAACACATCTGAAAATTGTTTGCTACGTGTCTGCCAGAAGCGTCACCTCCCTTACCAGACGAGAGTCATTGGATGGGTTCTTCTCCTTTCTCACAGGGAGAACACGAGCAGAGCTTGCCATTATCACAAAAGATGAAGTCAAGTTCCCTGCATTTGGGGAAATTGCTGGTGTCAGCACGCCCAACGTGGAAGAAATAGGCCTTTCTCTGGGAAAAACACCTTTGTGAGTGTGATGTCTCACCTGCCAGTTGGCCCCTAGCCCAGTGCTTTCCCATGATGTGTGCCGTGGCTTGGCAGAGAACACAACTTCTTGGTCATCCCCCAAAATGCACCTTCGGTTGAGCGCTGAGGTTGGAGGCTGCCTGTGTAGCCCGTCCCTGCTTTCGTAAGAGGCTGTGTCACCCAGCCTGAGCAGAGGGTTCCCAACTCTGACCAAGTACCAGAGGGCAAGGACAGCTCCGCGCTCCAAGTTTGAGTAACCTGTAACCATGTCACACCCCTTGAACGTGACAGCAGAGGGCTGTACAGACAGGGGCACAGCCAGTAGATGGAGGGAAGGGATTATTCCACTTGTCCCAGCACCTACTAGACTGCATATGGAGTGCTGCGTGCAGTTTTGCCACCCCCCCCCCAGTGCAAGAAGGATATGAATCAACTGAAGTGGTCCAGTGGGGAGCCACTAAGATGGTCAGGGGCTGATACATATGACTGTGAGAAAAGTGTGTGAGAACTGGGCTTGCTCAGCTTGGAAAAGGGGAGGCTGGGGTTAATACATGGAAAAAAGTTTCCCCATGAGGATAAGCAGGCAGTGGAGCACGTTGTCCAATGAGGTTGTGCAGACTCTGTCCTTGAGGGTTTTTGGGACCTGACTGCAGAAAACCCTGAGCTGCCTGGTCTGATCCCAAAGGTGGCCCTGCTTGGGGCAGGGGATTGGACCAGAGATCTCTCGAGCTGCCATCTAATCTGAGTGTTTTTCTGGGAGGCTCAGGTTCTTCTTCAACCGAAGGTACATGGTTATGTCTTTTTCTGTCTGAGACACAACCTTAAAACAAAATTTATCTGCAGATTTCAATTCCTAGCGTACAATATGTAAAAAGAGTTTGTACTGATGCTTTCTAAAACAGATGTTTCACATTTTCTTTGTTCTTTAAGAAAGCGTTTACTGAATTAACTTGATGAGTCTGTCTTACTTTAAACACCTCCTAGAGAACGCTATCACAGTCAGAACTGTCCATCCCGTAACAGCTCCTCCTGGCCAAACCGAACAGAAGTAAAGAAGTCCCATCTCTCTCATAGCAGTTGGCCATGCCTCTGACTGCTGAATATGTTCAATAACTCAGTAAATGAATGTTACAACATAGCTCTTGTTATCTGAGGTGGAGAAAACATCAGAGTACAGCAGGCTGGGGAAGTACTTGGTGATACTAGAGACGTTTTCTACGCTGTATGACTTCAGCAAAGAATATCCGTTGAAAAGCGAGGTATCCAGAAAGGAAATATATACAAGCATTTGCCTGTCTTTGTTCTGCACCGCAAGTGAGTCTTCTTTTTTGTTGCTGCTGCTACTGTAGATGGTTACACTCTGCTCTGGAAATCGTCCCTTGACCTTGTTTACCTGGAGCTTTCGAAGTCCCCAAATGGCCAAGTATTCTGTTGGGAGAGAAGAGGTGCCACAGAAGGCAAGCTTCAAATCCCATGCCCTTGTGAAGTTGAGGAGCATCTCCAGCACGGAGGTGTCTGTGAACCAAATGGTCAGGTGGCTGTTGTAGGTAGTTTTTTCCATGGTAGAAGGCAGCACCGTTTTGCAATTGCACATCAAGTTTGCCAGGCAGTAATCGCAGTCACGGATATCCGCCGAGCAGCTGCAGTTGCGAATTGTGTTTTCCTTGGTGAAAATTAGCGTGTGGTTCTTCTGACTTCTCACAAAACTGCCGGCAATGTGTATGCCAAGGAAGCCAGCCAAAAGGAGAGCCAGCCAGAAGGAGAAAGCAGAGAAGGCTGTTGGCTTCATTGGGACTGGTGCCAAGCTGCCAAGTGTCTCCTCCTTTTGCTCAGTGAATTGTATCACTTGGCTTTACCTACTGAGGAAGAACAACTTCTTTATTACACTAAAGACCACTCACCAGTTAATATTGCTTTGCTTTTCCCACTCTTTATCTGTCTCATCTATTCAGAACCATATTGTAGTTTGCAGGTTGCTCTACATGAGAGGGGAAGCACAGCTACACTGATTCAGAAAAATGAATTGTGACTCATGTTTGAGAGTCTTCTTTCACTCCTCTTTTGCTCTAAATGGTTTCATCTGCTTATGGGACAGCTTGGAGACCCTCTTCTCTATCCAGGCAGCTCCTCAGCCTACCCAGTGTGAAGGTAAGGGCAGGACTCCTCCTGCTTGTTTCTCCTTTCTCCTTCCTCTTTGCTTCCCAACAGACAGAGATGACAAATGACCCTATTCTCTGCTTTACAGAGTGAGGCAGTCTGAGAAGGACTAAAGAGAAGTGTTTTGGTTTACACCTGAATTGCTAAGTAAGGGTTGTGATAACCTTCCCTTTACGCTGAGTGTGGGATATACTGGGCAAAGAGAAAGAGAGAAGAAGCACTACTGGACACAGCAAGTATCTTTCTGAGCTATGTGGTATGCTGATAAAACCTACTTTTGATCCATATGAAGTTACATAAGGTAGATTTCAATTAGACATAAGGAAGAAATTTTTTACAATGAGAGTGGTGGGTCACTGGAACAGGTTGCCCAGAGAAGTTGTAGATGCCCCATCCCTGAATGTGTTCAAGGCCGGGTTGGATGGGCCTTTGAGCAACCTGGTCTAGTGGAAGGTGTCCCTGCCCATAGCAAGGGGGTTGGAACTAGAAGATCTTTGAGGTCCCTTCCAACCCAAACCATTCTATGATTCTATGAAGCTACGTCTGCTGCAGCCTTAGCCTGTAACTTTTGAGGACCAAGGACCACCTCTCACTGTGTCTCTGCACAGCAACTAGCTGTAAAGGACCATGTTAAATTTTTTTCTCAACATTGCTGTTATAAAAAAAGCACCAGTTGTGATATCTGTCTGAACATTACTGGAAACAAAAACCACCAACTGAGCAAAAAAACACCAACCGAGTTACAGACTTCCTGAACAGGTTATAAAAAAGACTTAACCCCACACATGCACCCAGGCTCGGGGTCCAAAGAACGGAGGGGCTTGAAGACCCTCGGAGACCCCTGAGTGTCGACAATATTGGGCATGTGCACTACTGCCAGGTGGTGGGTGGGGTTAAGCAAAACTGTTCTTGGAATATCCTAAATGATTCTCAGAAGAATGATGAATATGTAATGAGAAACCCCAATAAAAGAACGGTACCGACCAACATCGGGGAGGGGGAAGAAGAAGGCACCCACAACATCATTGGAATGTCATGGTGGCAGACAGAATGCCACCCCCCCGACCGCACAACGCTGCAACTCTGTGGTGGTATCTGTCTTCTATCTCTTCCTTTCCTTTCTTTTTTTTCTCTCTCTCTCAGCGTTTTCCTCTCTCTAATAAATTTGCTTGGCGCTTGACTCCGTTTTGAGTCTTAATTCTGTTCCCAAGAATATGAACAAAAAGCATGCTCTGGTCTATAACCGGTGTGTTACACTTGCATAGGATCTCAAGCAGTTCCTTGTCGTTCTTGAACTGAGGGGCCCAGAACTGGACACAATATTCCAGATGCGGCCTCACCAGGGCAGAGTAGAGGGGGAGGAGAACCTCTCTCGACCTACTAACCACACCCCTTCTAATACACCCCAGGATGCCATTGGCCTTCTTGGCCACAAGGGCACATTGCTGGCTCATGGTCATCCTGCTGTCCACCAGGACCCCCAGGTCCCTTTCCCCTGTGCTGTTCCCCAACAGTGCAGTCCCCAACTTGTACTGGCACATGGGATTGTTCTTACCCAAATGCAAGACTCTACACTTGCCCTTGTTGTATTTCATTAAATTTCTCCCTGCCTAACTCTCCAGCCTGTCCAGGTCTCTCTGAATGCCAGCACAGCCTTCAGGTGTGTCAGCCACTCCTCCCAGTTTAGTGTCATCAGCAAACCTGTGGATAGATCCTGGCTTTGTTGGTTGCACTGCCCCCTTCATTTACCCTAGCAAAGCAAAGTAGCACCTCTATGCATGCTTGTGATGATGGAGCGAGTTCCCATCCCAGCCATGCTCCACCTCAAATGGTT